ACTGTGATTGGGTCCCGGATACCCCCAGCTCTGTATGTAGGGTGCTGGGGGTGGTCCCCTGGACCCAGCAGAAGGATGGGGGCATGGGTCAAGAGAAGAGGGGTCCAGGCCACCTTCTCCCTTTGGGTTTCAGAGACCTGAGCAACAACCAGATCTCAGAGATCGCCCCCGATGCCTTCCAGGGACTGCGCTCTCTGAACTCCCTGTAAGTGCCTGCACCAGGGTGTGTGGGGTGAGGTGGGGCGGACGCTGGGCCCGCTGAACCGGCCGGTCCCCCCATCGTTCTCACGCCAGCCTTCCTCTCCCAGGGTGCTGTACGGCAACAAGATCACGGACCTCCCCAAGGGCGTCTTCGGCGGACTGTTTGCCCTGCAGCTGCTGTAAGGCGCTGGTGGCTGGGTGGGATGCTCTGCAGGGACACCAGGAAGTGGGGCTGAGGTACCCAACACCCGTGGTGCAGTGAAGGGGGTCCCTGATCTCACCTGCCTCCCTCCCTGCCAGGCTCCTCAATGCCAACAAGATCAACTGTGTGCGGGCAGACACCTTCCAGGACCTGCAGAACCTCTCTTTGCTCTCGCTCTACGACAACAAGATCCAGAGCCTGGCCAAGGGCACCTTCACCTCTCTGCGGGCCATCCAGACCCTGTGAGTGTCTGCACCAGCTCTGATGCCTGGGCGGGCGGGTGCCTGGGAGGGGAAGCATCGTGGCAGGTAGCCGGGGCTGGAGCTGGCAGTCACCTGCTGCCCCCGGCACTGTGTCACCCGCTGTCCCTGGTGCAGGCACCTGGCCCAGAACCCCTTTGTCTGCGACTGCAACCTGAAGTGGCTGGCAGACTTCCTCCGTGCCAACCCCATCGAGACCAGCGGCGCCCGCTGTGCCAGCCCCCGGCGCCTGGCCAACAAACGCATCGGTCAGATCAAGAGCAAGAAGTTTCGCTGCTCGGGTGAGAGTTGTCCCTGTCCCCATCATGGGTGCCCTGCGGCATGGCTGTCCTCAGCCCTGCCCCAGCCTGGTGTCTGTGTGCTCAGGGGTGCTGATCTGCTTTTCTCTCCACAGCCAAAGAGCAGTATTTCATCCCAGGTAAGAGGAGGAACCACACGCGTGTGTGCATGGTGTCCTTTGGGCCAGGGGTGGTTGTGCCAGAGCCCTGTGGTCCAGCCTGGCAGAACCACGCTGCATTTCCCATCATTTCTGGTTGCTGAGTTCCCGGATGCTGCGGTAACAAAAGTGCTGGGTACCCAGATGTGCCAGCATCTCTCATCGTGCTGCTATCCAGATGGGCACAGACACGTCCCTGGGGTCCAGCTCTGGTTGCGGGAGGGGGAGAGGGTGGTGGGCAGTGCAGTGGCCTGGGTACCCAGGACAAATATCCCTGCAGAGAAGCTGCTTTGGGCTTGGAGAGGAGTAATATGTGTGC